CCGGTCTCCATACGTTATTTTTGGAGCTTGGTATTGGCTCGGTGCTCTGAACCCCAATGAAAACGAATAAAAAATGGAGAATTCTGGAGAGCCAGCAAAACTTTCAAATTTTTTTTAAAACAAGATGAGGGAGTACCCTTTCTTTAGGAGAGGTCTACGTGAAACGTGTGTCACGGACATAATGTCCGTGCGTGTATTGTGTTAATACATTTTTGTATTTTTCCGCATGCTGTTTACCAAATCTTAAATTTAGGCAATTTTGACCGGGTCTGGAGTCCAACCACCTATCAATATATCTCTCGTTTTCTTTTTTGGGCCGTGGGGCCGGAGGTCGGTTGCGATTTGTTATTTCGTCTGTTTTTGATGTTAAGTTTTATATTGTAGAGTTGCCGTACAATAAACAACTAAATCCGGAACACGTGGGTCTTCTGATCTAATAACCACAGTAGCAAAAATCCTATCTATGACACGTTTACCAATATCGAAAAATCCACTTTACATACGAAGACAATAAATTAACAGTAGAAAGCAATCATCATTTCGTGCTCAGTGTGTCTTCATATTCATCTGAAATGAGTCTCAGATGTTTCTTGGACACTGTGGCTGGTTGACAATTCTAGGGCGAGTGCAACTTTTTCAACATCTGGATTAAATGTATAATAGGATGATCATAATTCCAAACCCTAAATGGAGGACACATCGTTCGGTAGAATCACCTATCATCCGCGCCTGTAATATACCTTATGTGTATATTAAAGAAGAACTGACGACAATGTAATAATACACTTTTATGGTTTCATTACATTTGAACCCACGTACATTTGAACCCACGACAATTGCACCTGCATGCCATTGCATCTATGGATTTTTTTTTGGTTTTACGGATATTTGTACCCATACTAACCTAACCCATGGGTTTTAGCACCCGCATATTGATTGAACCCGCGGATATACACATGGGTTCAAATGTACATGGGTTCAAATGTACGGTCACCCACTTTTATATACGTGATAAACAAGTGTGTACAACAAGAATGCATTTAACTTAAAGCAGTTGTTCTTAACTTTTGAGGGTCTGTCGAACACCTACCTACACGGTACGGTGCTCCTGAAGTATGCGCACCAAGATGTCGCATACCCTTAACCCTAACCTGAGTTCAGGTTGTGCGCCTATTTCAGGAGGTCCCACGGTACACTATTGTGCATGCTCCCGTCGAATCCCATTCAACGATTGGAATTAGGAGCGCCATAAGAACTTTAAAAAGAGCAGAAAGAGAAGGGTATACAAAATGATCACTGTGGTGTGACCTTACCAAAATTGACATAGCCTACCTATGACTTAGCGTTATTTTGATGTCGTCCAGAACGGTTGATAATTTAGCGGAGCTCCTCAATGAAATATTCGTTGCCACAAATGTATCACTTAGTCGTCTTAGTGGAAGTAAACATTTTATATCAATTCATATACATATACGCTCAATTCCCACTAATCCCACATTCAACCTACTCGTGAAACTGAGCTACAATTTACTAGACAATTAAAGGATAAAGAATGATATTTTGTGCTCGTAAGCAAAAAGCATCTAAAACTGTTAAAGCGTACAACATCCGCTGCATCTGTGACGATATGAGTTTTAATGAAGTGTAGGCCTACAACTAAATTCAAGACGTAACAGTCGTTGACATGTCCAGTTTGTCAGTAGAACTTATATCTGCGTAAAATTACACTCGGCCAAGCTATTTCAAGAGTTGTTTAATCGAGTAAGAATGTATATATTCGATGAACTATCGCAATTTTAATATTTTTTCTCAATTAGTAGCCTGGGTACTAGAGAGATTTCATCATATATAACTGCTTTATTTTAGAGGACCTCCAAAGAACCCGTGGAACGGTTCGATCGAACCCAGGGTAAAAACAGAGACCTAAAGAAATCTCGCATGCTATCTCAGCGCAATTCATTGATTGTCATATGTGTAAAGATGATTACAAGATTCTACCTACGTTAAAATATTCTCAACACATCAAAATCTGTTGATTATATCGTAGGATAATTTTGAATATTTAATTCCGCGAAAAAAGGAGCGTCCTCGGAAGACGTAAAATTTTTAACGAAAAAGGAGGACAAACCTCCAAAAGGAGGACGTATGGTCATCCTAATGTATAAGGAATGATTTGCTGTCATTCTCATTTCATACCTTATACTTTAAGTCGGGGGTCGGCGACCTACAGCCCGCGGGCCGCATCCCGCCCGCGGAGTAACATAATCCGGCCCGCGACGCTTCACTGAATTATAGTAACAAAACAGCTGTTTTGGCGATTACAGTTTTCACGTTACACAATTCATTGTGAGACGCGTGCAGACTAAATTTCATTATAATCTAACAAGTATGAAATTCACAATTACTCGTTTATGAGCCTATAATTAGATTATAATTAGACAAATGGCAACAAAACGCAAAAAAGTTGATGCTAAGTATAAAGGGTTCAATGGCGCCGAAAATGCAATGAGGAAATAAATCTATATTCTATTCGAGAGATGTATCACCGCTTCATTTTTATTAGAAAAATTATCATCCGTTCGGTTTTCAATTTTCTAAAAATATGTGCTGCCCGCCAATGACTTGCAACCATTAATTTGGCCCGCAAGCGAAAAAAGGTTGCCGACCCCTGCTTAAGTGGTAATCGGACGAAAGGCCATAGCAGATCACATTGTCACTTCTCTGTCTATCAACATAAAACTAGAAAATCTAATACCGTATCTTACTTAAGAAAATAATAATTCAAATAACACACTGTAGGCCTACCGTAAACTGTCTCCGCATTTTTTATTGACTTTTGGCACGACCCCCCCCAAAATTCTTTCTATACTTTATCATTGCAAAACTTTCGGGGCTATTTCAAAAGTGCTTTTGCGAGTTGGCGCCTGTAAAATAGGGTATGTGTTTCAAACCATCATTAGGATTCATCGCATACAACAATCTGTTTTTTAAAAGTACCGGTAAAGAATTTTAGCCTAGTCTATCACAGCTATTTCTACACTAATTTTTTATTACTGAATTTAAATTAAAACTCTTAGGAAGACAGGGTGATCATTGAAATATCTGATTTATATTTAAGTTTCCGAAACACAATAAAAAACTAACCAATAGAGTTCAAAAACGCGAAAACGAGGTAATGTTTACGACCACGCTCAAAAATCAGCCGGAGTGAGATAAGTGTCTGAGCGTAAATATATACTACTACGGTCTGAGCGAATGCGAAAAGGGAGCATTGTTACGTCACTTTTTGCATCTTGCTGATTGCCGATGTCACGAAGTAAACGAGAATATCGGTCGGAGACCGAAGACTTATCGATGAAAAGTTAGGGGATTCCCCATTCATTCATTCTGACCTTATAGTGACACCGCGTGTCCCATTACCAATTAATTAATAACTCGCTAATTAAACGACATAATTCATCCAAAAACAATAGGCTTTTTGTACGAGCTATGGTGGTGAGTGCACATGCAAAATTTGGGGCAGATTGAACCTCCCTTTCGTGAGATATCGCGTGCATCTAATAGACGAACAGACAGATACCCAGCAACATACTTACCGATCTTAAGATCGATAAGTAACAAGGAAGTCGATGCTCGGGGTAAGGTCTATCAAGCTCGGAAACGGAGCAAAATAAAATTTATGGAAATGATAAACGAACTACATGAAATCTTTGAAAAACTAGATAATGAAGATGTCGTTATGTTGCTCTTTGTGTAAGTAAGTAATATCATCGCTTTTAAGTTGAAATGATGCAAGCCTTGCAACGTTTCTGATCGTGTGACGAAACGTGATGTTCACAAAGAATCGACCTTTGACACTTCGACCACTTGAAATTGTTCTGCTTGATTTGCTCAAGATTTCTTAATCTCGTGAGGTGGCGAAATTGCCGTTGATTTGTCACGTGAAGGATTTATACAAGCTTTTTGCGCAATTAGGCTATGTCTGTATCTATTATTTACTTATTGAACAATACACATTGTGGAACCATTAAGAATTAGAAAATTAGGAACCATTAGAATTAAAAAAAGATTATGTCTGTATCTTTGTGTTATGAATGTGTGACGGTAATGAAAATTAGTGTTCAATATTTTTATCAGCAACACATTCTGATTAATGTTAGAACGACGGCATCTTATGCCTGATGGAGTCTGAATGTGGAGACAAAGTAAACTTACAGCGACACCGGTAATGATTTGAGGGCAAGCTGGTGTGAGCCTGTCTCCCAAACCTGCTGACCTGACTGCCTGACAGACATCGGGCGGTACTGGTGCGGTACCGTATCGACTTGCCAGCTTCCCAACTTTCAGACAGTTGAACCAGACCAGTAGACACAATCACACAGATTACTGGATCAACCCCATTTTTCAGTTTTCCAAAGTCCCGCATTTTGCTCATTCGCCATTTGTTGATCGAAAAAAAAGTAGTACCACACAGGATTGTCACTTTTAAAACGCTAAAATTCCATTTTAATGGTTTTTAAGTTCAAATAAAAATAGTTAAACATACATCTGACTTAGATAGAATGGATATATTTCGGCTGGTATATCTATTTATTCAGTTGATACACGGAAATTTGAAACATATGATACCAAAGTTAAAAACATGCACATAACATGCGTTCTTGTACCGAAAATTTTGGAATGCTACGCATATTACACGGAATCCGAAGTATTTTGAAATAAGTCCCTGAAATTCAAACTGGTTTATTCCATCATGAAATGCGTTCCTTCAATAGTCAGGAAAAAAAAACGGCAATTTTGGTCACGTGATGGCCACAATTAATTTAGGTTTATTTTGGAGACAAGAGCATGGCACAATATGACTCATCTGCCGTCTGGCCAGATGCTCCTCGTTTGTGACACACGTGGAGTGTTTGTTATATTGAACCAAATAGAGGGAAATTTGGATAGTGTGCCATACTTCAGTACTTTCTAACAATTAAACCTTTTTCATATTTTGCATTCTAGTTTATTAATAAAGTTTAAAATATTGACTTTATTGCGGATGTTGTTCAATTCCATTCAGATAGAAGTTTTGTTCTGATATTCTGAAGTTTTTAATATAAAGTCACATTCTATTCTTCACAATGTGTGGTGGATTTAATTGCTCGAAAAATGCTCTCACAGCGTTGAACATTTTGTTCTTGGTGAGTATTCTTCATCGGTTAGTTTAGTATTCAATTACATACTACTGTAATAAATTTTTATCCTTGATTAGAAAAATATTTTTTATTAATGGCTCCAGTTTATATTTATCAGTAATATTCCCAATGGTTGATCTCATAATTAATAACATTTATCTTACAGAAAACTCTGAAAAAGATAACCCAGCTTTCCTATGGTACAGATTTGAAGCATAATCATTGTTTATTATTAAATGACAATTTTTCATCTTCGAAAAATACACGTTTTGCAATATTGTTGCCTCTCTGTGTAGCGCTGTCATTTTGTTTAGTCTTTATCAAAAAAACAGTGTCTATTTATTGTATGTATCTTTTCATTTATTTGTTTTTGGTTGACAAATCAATAAATCTATCTTGCACAAAACATGCCAGTATTGGTAACATAGTAACAGCACATTTGCCATTGATCTGCAGTTAAAACATAGAGAGCCATAGCCTCATAGGAAAGAATCCCAAATAGATAGGTAGGCCACATGACCCTTGTTGTGTTCAACTTCTGTACTGATTCCATGTCAGACCTGGTCAGAATACAAAATGACAGACATGCTCCATAATAATTTTAAACCATCTTATCTGTATCTGAATAAACATGAAAATTCCCATCCTCTGCTATAGTTGGTGCGTAAGTGTATTTAATTACTTGTTTGTTTATTTTTAGCTTGTTTCCTTCGTTCTTATTGGAACGGCTTCTTATGCAAAAGCAGCAGGATATATTTACAGTTTTGAAATTGCAGGAGGTCTGTACAATTTTTTTGTTGTTGTGTATCTGTTATTACTGTATTGTCTATTGATATACTCAATCTGTAATACCACAAATTGAGCATGACTTACTGTAATGATGTTGTTATTACTTATCGATTTTAATGTTAGTATGTTGATAGGTATTCGTCTGTCTCTCTGTTAGATGCACGCGATATCTCACTCTCTGTTAGATGCACGCGATATCTCACAAAAGCGAGATTGAATCTGCTCCAGGTTTTGCACGTGCATTCATCATATGTCGGACCAGAAGCCTATTGATTTTGGATGAATTATGTCGTATAATTAGCGAGTTATTATTTAATTAGTGATGGGACACAAGGTGTCACTATGGAGTGAGAGCGCTGTTTTGGGGGATCCCCTAACTTTCGATCGATAAGTCTTTGTTCTCTGCTTGGAATTTCTTCCAATTCTAAATTTAAATGATCTATTTCCATGCATGATTGCCTCTGTGAAAGTGGAAGTATACGACCATGACTTTTACTGTGTAGTTTAAAATGAAACTGTCTGGAATTTACGTTCAGATAAATCACATTATTGACTGATGGTTTGTTATTTTTCAGGGATAATAGCTTGCGGATTATTTCTTTTCTTCATATCAATACTTGGATTGATCGCCTCATCAAAGCATCACCAAGTGCTGCTGTTCTTTGTATCCTTTAGAAAAAATTTTAGGGTTTGAAAAATTTGAATGAATCTTGCATTATAATCTTGCCTCCTGGTACAGTAGGTAAGCGCTGGGCCACTGTGAAATTATTGGGTGAGCTTTTGCTTGCACTATCATGAATTGGAGTTTAATTCTAATTGCTCGTATGGATTTGCTTTTTTAATACCTTGTTCAGAGAGTATAAAAATGAGAAATACTCTTAGTTTGCCAAGTGATACCATTACCATTGCTTTGCTTGCCAATCATGATTTATACCTAAAATATGCCCTGCTTTACCTTTTTATTTTGGGTTTTAAATGAATTTAAATTGGGTTCATTATAAAATTTATTTCATAAACTTTGATGAAAATTCCACTGCTTAGATCCGTGGTTCTCAAACTGGGCGTCGCGTCGCCCAAGTGTGTCGTTTCAATATTGATAGGACATCGCAAAACTTTTCTTCTTTTGTGGAATTGTTCCTGCGGTGTGTAGAAGTCAAAATTCCCTTTATTCTCGTTTGAATCACACTTGAAAACTGGAGATGGCAATATACTAATTAATCAATCTTATCTATATGTGACCTCACTAACGTCCCGGCCCGGGTCATTTAATGCTGTTCCAATTATGACATCACCAACACTGAGTCGGGTCAGCTCGAGTCATACATATTATTCATTTCTAATCCTTTCATGAACTTGGGCATATCGATCAATGTTGAGCGACGTTCAGCACTTCGTCTACGTGTTGATTCGAACGACTCAATATTGACACCACAGCAGTTCTCTTCAGGCATAATTTTAATGAAACTCATTCCATAAATGTCTTTTATTAAAAGGTATCAAAACATTTTTCACGGGGAGTGGCAACTTGATCATTCGGATGGGGTTGCAATACCAAGAAGTTTGAGAACCACTGACTTAGATGATAGATTAGTACTTGTAGATCCGGTAAAACATCTTCGATCGAATACTAAATAAGAGTTACATCTGATTCTGAATAATCTATAATTTTCTGTACTCCCGAAGTATGTGTACCAGGTTAGGGTTAGGCCATAATATAAGGTACAAATACTATGGGAGTCACTTGACTAGTCTCCAAACTCGTAATAAAACTAAAATAAGGGAAATTGGAATGAAATTATGGCCCAACTCTAACCTGGTACACATACTACGTTCCGGGGTCCACCATCTTGGTTCACATACTTCGAGGGTGCCCATTTTTTAATAAATAAATACCGCAAATAATGATATGGAGGTCAGAATATTGTATTAACAAGGAATTCATTTACCAGATAATTTATTGTTCAGTAATCATATACACTTTTGATCGAGAATACATAATATTTAAGGAAAATACATTTTAATAGCTAATTTGGTCATTTTTTTTAATCAAATACTTTTATACTATGCCATTTCATATACCAATATCTGGTTCCAAACACAGTTGCTTATTTGAATATTGTTGGAAACTATAGTCTTGATATCCAATCTGATTCCTCATGGAATAATAGTTGAAAAAAATCCTTGACTCACATAATATCAGTACTTTGTAGTTTTGTTTCTCCTGTTCCTCATCCAGTTCTCTGTATCAATTGCCTGTCTTGCATTATCTAAATCTGATGAGGTAAGATGATTGATTAATAGTTCTACATTTTTTTTCTACTCATGATTATAATCTACTGCCACACACAGCTGCTTCGCTTCTCCGACTGCAGAAGTTCTTGAAATCTTGTTCCAATCATTTTAATTTAGGCTCACTGCATTGATGTTTCGGCCTATAATGGTAGCTCCTTGTATGTCTATCATTAGGTAATAATGCTGTTAGTAGTATAGGAAGCTTGTTTGAATGTAAAGACGTGGATTGAAACATAAAAATTGTAATGTTTGACTGTTTGTTAATGGCCATTTCAAACCCGGAATATTATACATTATTAAGTTAGTTAGCACCCAGTTATTGAACAACTTAAATAATTCTATTTTTAGAAAGCACTCCTTCAAGGTGCATGGAACATGAGCAAACCAGAAGTGACCGACACAGCAGAGACATTATTTCATTGCTGTGGATGGAACGAAACTGATTTGATGAATGACGACATTACAAACCATTGCGAAAATGAGGTGGTTTGTTGATTTGGAATTTTTTTTATGATTCAACCTTGAGTAAGGCTCTGTGCAAGCAACTATCGATATATAGTATTGGATTTTACATATTTTCCTGGGGGAGAGAAAATCCGATAATATTGTTCAATCGTATGGCGAACCATGGACTATTGTCCGGTTACCAGTCCATGTCTGGTATGGGACTAGTTAGCCCAGGGGTGGGAAACTTCTCTAGTCGGCGGGCCAGATGTGGGAAAATGAAGTCCTCTTATTACAAAATATACTTCGGTATCCAATCTTTGTTAAATGCTCGACACTCTCTGTCAACTTTACGTTTCTTGGGATATTCCATGGTTAATGAAACTTAATATAAAATCTAATTTCTAAAATCTATTTATATTTGAAATCTAAATATAACTGATAACAGTAGTGGGAAGTGTTTACAACACTCTCTGCTTTGACTTTATATTATTTGTTTAACAAGTGTGCTAACGCAATTGTTTGTTCACTAAGGCAATGATGCGCCACACAGCATGATGCGCCACACAGCTGAGGATGCAGATATTAGATATTGCAGGGACTTCACTTGAGTAGGATTCTTGAGTAGGATGAGGGCCCAAATGTTGGATAAGCAGTCCTTTTTTTAAGTTTCAGCCATCACTGTGGTGGTCTTTAATGGATAGCACTGGCATCACCTATGCTGGTGCGTTTTTGATAATAATATGTTATCATCCATGCCCATCATTGCTTGGAGTAATAATTTGGGGGAAAGCGTTGAAAAACTTTACAGGCTAACATTAGTCACTGATTCTCTTAGAATTACAAGAACCGATCCTCTTATTCTCAACATATTTTTACATTTTTTCATCATAGCTGAAAGCTTGTGTCAAAGAGGTTTCAAAGGATTCAGATTTACCAAAGTGTCAGCCATGCAGCATTGTTCTAACTGAGAGAGTAAGTACATTGCTGGTTGCAACTGGTGGAATTGGCTTTTTCTTCAGTTTGATGGAGGTGAGTCTCGTTTTTTATATTTGCTACTTTGTCTAGTAAAAGTACAAGAGAGTTTGTATATTTGTTTGAGAGTTAATAAGTGATCAGTAACTTGTGGATTAACGTGGCTATTATTATTGTCTACCTGGCTGGCGCATTATGCTAAGTGTTAGGTCAGCGGTTCCCAATCAGTGCCCCATCAAGGGGGCCACTAGTCGCAGTTGGAGAGGGGGTCACATTTGAAGGTAAGAACGGGCCCAAAATTCCAGCCAGGCCCGTGGGTAGTAAACCTGACCCGAGCCCGACTAATTAACTGGATTTGCAGGCCCGAGCCCGAAGAAAACCCGAAATTTCATTTAGGTGTTCATTGAATTGACATTGCAAGAGTTTAGTGCAGTATGTGTCGTGTTGATGAGGCAACTGTTTTTTTTTTCAGACCACGGTTTCTTGTGGCTAAAACCAGGCCGAAATGCCTGATTTAAATAAAAAGTCAGCGATAGAAAAGCCCGACTCGAACAGACATTTCAAGCCCGACCCGGCCTGAATTTTGGGTCGGGTCTGGCTTGGGCTTCAAATCTTAGCTCAAGTCACAATGCTAGTCACAAAGCTGATTTTACTTTTTCCTTCACAAGTTTCATTTTTTGATAAAGTTATTTCACAGGGTGTTTTCAATGAGCAAATTGTTTTATCATAATGGGATTTGGAATCTACCAATCAAAATACCACTTCAAACATACAGGAATAACAAACAGTGGGACCATGAGTACTAAAAGCCTTGAGGAGGGGCCCAAAGCCATGAAAGATTGGGAACCCCTGTGTTAGTACGTGGGAACCCTTTTTTCAACACCCCTTTGATGGTTCACGTAACGACTAGTCGAATAGATTCCTTCACCACCAAGCTTTTGAAACAAAGTTTTTGTTTACTATTCCCAAACCCTGCATGAACTGGGGACTGGACAAGAGGGTATATGCAAATATTTATCTCATGGGCTTCCTCTCCCATTTATTAAATATGTGTTGAGTTTGAGTTTATGAAAATTATTTAAAAAGAATGTTCATTCCAACATTTTAAATTTTGATTATTACAATAAGTCTCAACAATGTCCATATCCAATCCAATCTAACTCAGTGATTCTCAACCGTGGCTCACTGTTGCTGTTCACTGTTAATTTATTATTCACCCAATAAAGTAATTTTTTAATACGATTGAAAAATTAGGACAGTTGGAGAGTTGCCCTCCACTCGTAGCTATTAGGTAGATCTGAGTGTAACTTTTAAACCTTCTATTATGAGTTTTTCTCACAATGTTTAGCCTGCATTTCAGTACACCTAATTTATTGTTTGCAGTTTTAAATTACATAATCGAGTTTTATTTTGTTGCTATTTTAATTTGAGTTGTTTGTTATGCAGCCCCCTACAACTTTAAAGTTGAGATGCGGCTCTGACATTAAAAAAGGTTGAGAACCAATGGCCAAACTGATCTATTCATATTTTTTTTAGTTGATGGGAGTGTACCTAGCTGTCCGATTCCGAAACCAGAAAGATCCAAAAGCAAATCCAAGTCAATTTTTATGATGAGTAATCATTGAGTGACTCATCAATTATTAAATGAATGAGATTTTACGAAGCATCGAAACGTTATCTTCGAACTGACTTATAATAATAACAATTTATATATTAAAATAGAAAATGACAGAATTTTGTGCGATCATGCGTTTTTGTAGATATATTTGGAATATACAAGTCAGTTCACAGGAAATAAAAAATGCAGTAGAATCCTTATTTTATCACAGTTGCACATTATTGCTATGGTTCTCATAGATTTGGCTGGTAAATAAACGATGGTGTAATACATGTTACCTTTATATATTTGCGGGAGTGCAGTTGCGGAGTTGTCATTTGTGTATTATTATTGCTGTTATATAACTCTAATATAGAATTCAATCTGCTCTGATAATTGCAACATACATAGTGTATCATCTTTACACATGGTGACCCCAAAAAACAATAATTTTTTATGAAAATTTATTAACACTTGAATTTCTGTTTTTATATGATTGTACCCGGAAGTTTCATTAGTTCCGACGCTTTGCACAAAAGGTATGTTTTCTTGATGATATGTTTCAAACGCCCTGGGTTCTGGTTTTTGGGAATCACTCTGTATGTGAGTTGAGATACGATCACAAAAGCCCTAGCATGAGATATTACTGGTAATACATTTACTACCACTAATGGGCAGTTGAATATAGATGTTTCCTATTTAATGAAGCATTCAAAATAGTTATAGACTTTGATGTCTTTGACATTATTATTATTCAGAATGTATCCTCAGATATATATTTAGTATGCAGTTATTTTTACTTGAAACACGGTGCTTATGCTTAAACTTGGCCAAATCCTATTATATGTATCAGATAGTTACTATTAGTTGTTGAAATGCTTTATCTACTCCCAAGTTTCCCTGCATTGTATTAATTACATTAGCTTACTTGTATAGCACTCTGTGCAGTTTGTTTTAAAAAAAACGAAGATCCTACCAAAGCAATCCAACTGAAGATCTTCTTCTCTCAGCATTGCTGAAACCAATTAATAACAGGCAGAGGATCTTTAGTTAGGGTTCAAACTTGATCAAATGAAGGTCCCCTCCACAGGGTATATCAAAGAAGACTTTCCACCCAGGGAGAAACACATGACCCCCCCCACTCAAATAGGTTTGTGGGGATGAACTTCAAATGATTTGTTTGTATTGGAATATACAACTGGAATTGTGACATTTACAAATTGTAACATGAATATATTTTTTCATTGACTAGATTTTGCAAAGGCAATTTGATAAACTCATTCCATCTGTATTACAATGTACAAAATTCATTTTCACTTATGCATGGTATTTTCTTTTTGCAATATTGTTCATTTCGGAGATGATCATATATATCAATTTTCCTTGCGTCTGATTCTGAGTTTTAAATCAGCGAGAGATTTAACGATATTCCACTGAATACTAAGCAATATATAATACGCTGGTATTGGTCCTCCCGACCTCCATATATGTTGTGTGCCCAACAGTTTTAATTGTCTTATGCTGCTGTGGTGAATTCCCACCAACCAAAATAAAACCATGGATTTTTATGCTTCACCTAATGTAGTTTTTTTTACTAATTTAGTTTTTTTCACATAACCTATTATGATTGTTGCAGTCAAATTATGTGTTTTTTTTTTCATTTACTATGTATAAATGCATGAAATGTTCAATATGAGGATACAATTTACCTGCAGCCGACTGGGTTTACAATGCCTCACTGTAAGAAGGTGGCATTATTGTTTATTACAGCAACGAGCCTTCTAGGATAACTGAAACTAAATGCATGTTTCATTGGTAATATAGGATAATACTAAATTTCAATGCATTAGTCTGTTTAATTAAAATTTAAACACAATTAAATTATTTACATTGCTGAAATATGAATATTAACATTAGGGTGAATATTATTATTTGTGATAACAAGAGATTTCTGTGGCGTAGGGCCAATGGTTCATCCCCTCCCCCCTCCCGACTTTTTTAGTAATTGGAGTCAAATTACTACTTATTCGATATGGACCTTTGACCGATAAATATATTGGGTAATTATGGTAACATTTGAGCTGTTGCAGAATTGATGAAACACCATCGGTTAAACATTTTTTTCCCACTATATATATGTAGGTATATATAGCAGACATTATTTGTAGTACCTATGATATTATTTCATGTAAAATTCTGTGCATTTGTCCTTTCTATTATTAAGAAGGCATGCAGGTGGACGCTCCAGAAGTGTGTGTACCAATATGGAGGTAACTAATTTTGTACGACTACTTCACGGGAATTCACTTGGCTTTCACCGTCAGTTCCCGAACTCGTAATAGAACTAAAATAGGAAAAATCGGAATAAATTAATGCCCTAACCATAACCTTGTACACATACTACGGGAGTACCTGCAGGTGTGCTGAATGAAATGTGAATCCCGATTGCACATCAAATTTCCCAAACGATTTCCTTATTCTAACACTTCGAAAGCACAGTCTTTTTATCTCCATGGTAACATGGTATTGGCCAATGATGTCTTTGCGAAAGCCAGGCATTGTGTTGCACAAAGTTCAACCATGCCTCTTTTGGAGTCTTGCAGTCATGTGTTACCTTAAAATAATCTTATTTATTATTCAATACCTGCTGCAAATATGGATCATCTCTGTTACATATATGGACCGCAGAGTGGCCATGTTTTATATCCATCGGCGAATTTTTTTGAGCATACTAATATAATTCTTTAAATGTATTGCATTCGAGACTGTCAAACTTTTCTTTCTTATTGCCAATATGTGGCAATGATCACAAACACTGGATGATAGACCAGTAAGAGGTTATTTATGAGTGATGATCGTTCGGCTCTAGTTTGCAATGCAGTCACGCTGATGTTTTTATTTCAGTTGTCATTTTACTTCAGAGTATGAGAAGACCTGGGTTACATATATCAGAGTCAAGATACCATCATAATTTCACTTTTTTGTGTGCTTTTATATACTATTATTATTATTAGAGTGTGTTGTACATAATCGTGCTTACAATGTGACACTGCAATATATATGAATCTGAAAAGGAATGCGTATTCCAACACTGGACTATGGCATCAGTTTCGAAAATCAAACGAGGAAAATAGCAGAACCATGAATATATATGAGTCACATTCGCCTAAACTTAAAACTCAAACCTGTAGGGGGGTTTATACAACATTTAACTCGACCTGTTTCGAGTGCATGGAAATGCAGCATGGTGGAGAATTTCCAACATAACTTCTGGGGTGAATTGAATGTATTTTGCGGTTGCTGTTGCAACCAGGGCTGCTAAATTGTGAATTTTACAGTAGACTCCGGTTTAATATAAGATAGGCTTTACATATTTATCCCAGGAGAGAGAAAAGTCGATTAGGCAGCTTAATCACATGACAAACCACGGCCTCTCGTCCTGTTACAAATCTCTTTCTGGAATTTAATCAGCACGTTATTTGTTTTCGGAATCACGGAATTGATGATAGAGGAAGCCGTAACCGACCAGCTGTTACTTGAACTACCCTACGGCGACGAGGAGTCCTAAAATCCTCTCTCACATAACTATCCCCGCACGGGATGCGGACCCACGTAGGGTAATCAAAGGTGCGGTGGCGAGCGTATTCCTATCGGACGCTTAGCACGATGCGCCACACCGGTAAGCCATACATACCCCTTATCAAAAGAGAATTAGTCGAGCTAGGAGTTCGCAAAATTAGAACGCAGAACAGCGTATAAGAAAAACACCACCAACAACATAATGACAAAACGATCCATTCAGTGTCCAAAAAGTTATTTTTTGATATTGGTATACGTAGACGCTTTCTTGAAGTAATCTTTATTGGAGCAATAGACGTCAAAGTGTTTAATTTTATAGTTTGGAAATTCTGTACCAGAGTATGAAAAAGATTTATCTTCACCAAATCGGCAGCCATAACTTAAAAACCTTGAGCAATAGAATCAAGAAGAGGTCACCTGGCTCATTGTGGGATTGTTCCATATGTCAGTGACGTTTAACAATTAATATTTGAACAGTTTATTTATAACCTTCTCAATGAAATATATTTTAGGCGCAAGGATGGAATGACGAAGAAATGTTTTTAAATCGTATTGCTCTCACCTAGAATTACGTTAATGAAGAGTTTTTAAGGCTAGACTAGACCTAAGACGAACTTATCCGTCACTTTTGACTTTTGAGTAAGATATATATTATTATTCATAGACTCATAGAATTATTTAAAGTTATCCAGAAATGCGACGAATATTCGTCTTTTCAAATAGAAGATTTTTTTGTTTTGTTGTGATAGTTGTGTGTGCTATGTATCCGCTGTGAATATGGCTACGTTAATGCGTGTGACCAAATAAATGATGTTCATGTCCGCTATCAGGATTGCTTCAATAGCTCGAGATTTGTAATTTAGCATTCCGATTTACCCTATGAACCTAATTCGGTAATTTCCTGTCAATACTACCAGATTCTGTGCTTGTTTCTGCCAATTCTGTTGGAGATGTGATTAGCTGAATTCATCGTCGAGTCATCCATTCAACTGAAACTTTTTTTTTTAAGTTATATTCGCAAAACACCAATATGGTCAGTATATTATATATATCGTCAATACTAATTCTGTTCGTCACGACTGTATATGGTTCGGGCGATTCTAAAGCCGATTAGGATTCGATTTTACCGGCTGTAGAAAAATTGTCGAGCATGGTGGAAATGATCCTACAAGAAGTGGCGGATTTGAAACAATCTTCGATCGAAAATAAGGCAAATATGTACGAACTGCATGGTACGTATTTTTCGTGTGAGTTATCTGAAAAATGGTGATTAGGGGACCTCATCAAAAATTTAAGTAAGATGAAATTGACTCATCAAGTAGAATCATGATCATTGAAATTTGCACATGAACAATCTAGTATGATACTAACAACTCTTACTTACAGTGAATGATCTGAATAAATCCGGTTGATTTTTTCATATTTCATTCCTTTATTCTATCACCTTCAGGTTTATGTCCGGTGAGATACAACAACAAATGTTTCTTTGCCGTCTTCGATTACGCTATAGGAGTCACTTACGATATCGCGGAGGTACTCTGCGACGAAAAACGCGCGAAATTGGCAAATGTATATACTCTGAAGAACATATGCAAGCATTAGGAAATTACATAGGACCTTATATTGTGCCCACCAAGGGAGAAAAAACTGTTATCCACGTAGATACTGGAATGAAATTTACCCCGACAGTAAGGACTTTGTTTAATATTACTTTTCCTTTAATCGCTGAGGAAACGAGACTGAAAGTATATTAAAAAAAAAAACAGTTTTAATAGTAGGATTTTTGATGACAACCATTCAAATCACTTGGGAATATATTCGATTGAACTTCACTAGGTGTGGAAATAAGCTAGATTACCAGCAGTTATTTTTAGATGATTGAAATGCTTCGCGTTTCCGCTGTGCTTACGAGCTTTCAATTAAAAATGCGACATAAAATCTTGTTTAGACCGGAATCATCACCCGCACTGACGGCACCAAATCGAATCTCGACCAATGACTTCCAGGATATCCCAAGTACGCGTCCCATCGAACAACAATTGGCTTGAGTGTACATGGAAACCCACCCGGCATATACATGTACGATGCACAAAAAAGCTATGGTTATGATGGCGCATTTTGTGAAATAAATCTTGAATAACTGCTGATCTACTCGTAAACCGCCGAGACAAATTAGTTTTCGTTTTCTGTTAGCGACTATTCTAATCGCAAAGACATGATTATATCAATGCAACACTTCCATTACCTTAATTTATTTGTGTATTAAAATTTTTTTAAATTACTGCTATGTTCGGTTTTACAAGAAGTGATCGTCCATATTAGTGGTTTTCAACCTTTAGGTAGACCGGAACTTCATGAAAATTTTATTCCCCAAAACTCTGTATAATATTCAAATTGGCTAAATTAGGGATGTGGAACAGGCGGCCCGCTGGCCACAACCCGGCCAGCTGGGCCAAGTTTAAAAAAGGCGCTCACGGGGTAAAATACACATAATGCTTTTTTTTTTTGCGCTTCTCGCTGCGTTAAATCTGTCGCCGTTTAGTCCTGGATCTTTATTATTGTAAGGCTACGCGATAGCCACATTCTCTTCTTTTGCCTTTCCCGCTAAATATTTTGTATAGCCCAAATAGATGTTTGAGTTGGTTACATGGCCCATCGACAAAATATGTTGCACGCCCCTGGCCTAAATTGTATAGACTATGAATATATATAAAATAAAACCTAATACTAGCAAAACAAAATGGTCTTCAAAGTGTAGAAAGTTTACGCAGAACGAAATCTAGGGTGGTCTATATATTCAACTTTTACCAAAATTTATTGTGACTCGTTGATTGTTGTGATATTTGCGTTTTCATCAGTTTAGTTTAGAGTCTAGAAAATTTGAATTCACTCCAAATAACTCTATGCGTTCGAATTTTATTTCTTAGAATTTAAAATAATTGGAAAAAATCTGGGGCCAGCTTTTCTCACTATTTTTTATTTATTTTTTTATTTATTTTTTTCATCCTTGAGTGATTCAGCAGGAAATAGTTCTACAATAAGCTTCAGGGAACCGCAAGTGAGGATTGAACTTATGAACCTCGGCAGGTAGTTGGTTCTGTGCAGGTAGTTGTGAAATGTGTCGGGCAACCAGTTCGCAAAATTAGAACGGATTACATCGTCAGAGTTCCATTTCGTGTCCATCGAGAAAAATACGAGCAACAACGAAATAACAAAAGAATTTACTAGTCCATTTCTTGTCCAAAAAGTGACCAATAATATGTTTATGAGCTATAGACGAATAGTTACGAGGTGAACCTGGTGTTCATTAAACGATATAGAGCTTAATGTTAGAGTTGGGAAATTCTGTATTTGAGTATGCAAGAGGTTCATCTTCATTTAATCGGCAGCCATAACTCAAAAACCTTGGGCAATAGGGTCAAAAATAGGTCACCCAGCTCATTGTGGAACTGTTCCATATGCACGTGACGTTTAACAATTAATATTTACATGGTCTATTTATATCTTTTATAATGAAATGTGTCTTTGAGCGCACGTATGGAATGAACAAAATGTGGTATTTGGAAATCATACCACTCCAGCATAGATATCAGATAATAATTAGTTTTTAAGGTATGGGCCTGATAAAATACTCATCAATGACATTCGACTCTTAAAATAAGATAATATTATTCATAACTATAGAATTACTTATAGCCCTTTCTTACAGCGATGAATATCAGTCCGCAACGCTCAACCAAAACGTTGCAATGGCTTTTTGATTGAAATCAATCACTAAAGATCGATCAGACTCTTTCAATATCTTTGCGGATCTCTGTGCTGTCATCACGGACCCCCAGAGGTCCGCTAGCCCCAGCTTGGCAATCTCTGTGCTATATGACACTGATTATGACATGTTGAACAATGACTTGTGAGGCGGCATTTGTAATAGTTCTGGCAGCACATTGGATTTCCAGAGCAGATTTATAATATTGGCTTTATACCACGGGGAGGTGTTGTCGTTCTACCACCATGATAACATGGGATACATTACCTAACAATTTTCACAAGTTGCTTTCATTGGTCTTAGCCAGGTTTTGTTCGAATACACCTATTCTGGAGCCTTGCAGCGGTGTGTTACAGTAAAATATTCTTCTTTATTATTCAATATATGCTGCAAATAATTTCGACAATTACGTTTGATTGTAGATAATGCGTCATTATCGAAAATATCAAAAACAAAGACGAACTATTTTATTACAGTTAGTTGTAATTCATTTTTTGCACTTGGGAGCTACAACTACGTTCGCATACGCTTTATGTATCTAAGTTACCAAAAACTGATGACATCACTAGCTTCACCTCTTCTCCGATCACATAAAAAAATAAATACGAGAGAGAATAATTAGGTGAGAAGCTCTCTCGTTTTCACCGTGGTACTCGAGGGTAAAAACTAAAAACCTGACCTCGGCACAAATATTATATTAAGACAAGTTTTATATTATTTGAAGGACTATCTCGAAGACTAAATATAGTTCTGAAATGAAGATAAAATGTCACGATTATCCTACAAAAATGGGCAAAACTGAAGACCGTGAAAATTGTTTGAAAATATTTTAAATTGAATAACAAAAAATTCGATTTGTTATTGTTTTAACATAATACAATATTGACACATTTGTAGAGGTTGAAGATAGCTTTCGAATTGTACCATCAGATTGAATTTATGATGCATCAGTAAAATGGTATAGGCAATTTTATTAAATGTTCTCCAATTCATCACATGTCCGCTGCGCCAACTTGACGTAAACAATGACGTTCCTTAATTACTTGATTACGCGGCGACGTTACGCAATTACGTCGCTATGTAGCAGCTCTGCTTAATTTGGTTCCAGCTTTTCTCACTAGTTTTTGATCTTTGGGTGATTCAGCAGGAACTAGTTCTACAATAAGCTTCAGGGAACCGCAAGTGAGGATTGAACTTATGAACCTCGGCAGGTAGTTGGTCTTGTACAGGTGGTTGTGAAATGTGTCAGGCAACCAGTTCGCAAAATTAGAACGGAGTACATCGTCAGAGTTCCATTTCGTGTCCATCAAGAAAAATACGAACAACAACAAAATAACAAAAGAATCTATTAGTCCATTTCGTGTCCAAAAAGTGAACTTTTGATATTAGTATACGTAGACCAATAATATGTTTATGAGCCACAGACGAATAGTTACGAGGTGAACCTGGTGTTCATTAAACGATATAGAGCTTAATGTTAGAGTTTGGAAATTCTGTATTTGAGTATGCGAGAGGTTCATCTTCACTTAATCGGCAGCCATAACTTAATAACCTTGGGCAATAGGGTCAAAAATAGGTAACCTCGCTCACTGTGGGACTGTTCCATATGTCAGTGACGTTTGACAATTAATATTTACACGGTCTATTTATATCTTTTATAATGAAATGTGTCTTTGAGCGCACGTACGGAATGAACAAAATGTGGTATTTCGAGATCATACCACTCCAGCATAGATATCAGATAATAATTAGTTTTTAAGGTATGGGCCTGATGAAAAACTCATCAATGTCATTCGACTCTTAAAATAAGATAATATTATTCATAACTATAGAATTACTTATAGCCCTTTCTTACAGCGATGAATATCAGTCCGCAACGCTCAACCAAAACGTTGCAATGGGTTTTTGATTGAAATCAATCACTAAAGATCGATCAGACTCTTTCAATATCTTTGCGGATCCCTGTGCTGTCATCACGCCCCCAGCGGCCGCTGGCCCCAGCTTGAGAATCTCTGTGCTATATGACACTGATTATGACATGTTGAACAATGACTTGTAAGGCGGCATTTGTAATAGTTCTGGCAGCACATTGGATTACCAGATTAGATTTATAAAATTGGCTTTATACCACGGGGAGGTGTTGTCGTTCTACCACCATGATAACATGGGATACATTACCTAACAATTTTCACAAGTTGCTTTCATTGGCCTTAGCCAGGTTTTGTTCGAATACACCTTTTATGGAGCCTTGCAGCGGTGTGTTACAGTAAAATATTCTTCTTTATTATTCAATATATGCTGCAAATAACTTCGACAAATACGTTTGATTGTAGATAATGCGTCATTGTCGAATATATCAAAAACAAAGACGAACTATTTTATTACAATTAGTTGTAATTCATTTTTTGCACTTGGGAGCTACAACTACGTTCGTATACGCTTTATGTATCTAAGTTACCGAAAACTGATGACATCACTAGCTTCACCCCTTCTCCGATCACATAAAAAAATAAATACGAGAGAGAATAATTAGGTGAGAAGCTCTCTCGTTTTCACCGTGGTACTCAAGGGTGAAAACTAAAAACCTGACCTTGACACTGATAAGACAAGTTTTATATTATTTGAAGGACTATCTCGAAGACTAAATATATTTCTGAAATGAAGATAAAATGTCACGATTATCCTACAAAAATGGGCAAAACTGAAGACCGTGGAAATATTTTTTGAAAATATTTTAAATTGAATAACAAAAAATTTCATTTGTTCTTGTTTTAACCCAATACAATATCGACACATTTGTAGAGGTTAAAGATAGCTTTCAAATGGTACCATCAGATTGAATTTATGATGTATCAGTAAAAACTTAAAAACCTTGGACAATAGGGTCAAAAGGAGTCACCTCGCTCATTGTGTGACTGTTCCATATGTCTGTGACGTTTAACAAGAAATATTTGCACTGTTTATTTATAATGAGATGTATCTTAAGCGCACGTACGGAATGAACAAAGTGTGGTATTTGGAAATCATACTGCTCTAGCATGGATACCAGATAAAAATTTGTTTTTAAAGTATGGGCCTAATAAAAAACCCATCAATGGCATTCGACTCTCAAAATAAGATGATATTATTCATAACTATAAAATTACCTAAAATTTTAATAGCCCTTTCTAACTGCAACGGATATCAGCCGCAACGCTCACCCAAAAAGTTGCAATGGCTTTTTGAATTAAATCGATCAACAAAGATCGATCAGACCCTTTCAATATTGCTGCGGACCCCCTGTGCAGTAATCACCCCAGTTTGGGAAACTTTGTGCTAAATAGCACCGGTTTATGACACGTGTAACAATGACTTGTAACGCGGCATCTGTAATAGTTCTTTTGAATTATAATAATGGCCTTAGGCCACGGGGAGGTGTTGTCGTTCTACCAACATGATAACATGGGATACATAATCTAATAATTTTCCCTAATGGCCCTCATTTGTTCGAATATACCCTTTTTGGAGCATTGTAGCAGTGAGTTACAGTAAAAATGGTCTTACGAAAATGGATTGTGGGTGGGCATGTTTCACGTCCGTCTGTCAGTCATATTTCCGCCCCTGAGTTGGCTCCGACTATTTTCACTTTTGAGAAGAAATGTCCACACAATTAGGTTATTCCTATTGTCGACGCAACATTTATTGCCATTTACTTTAAAATTGAAATCGACAGCAATATCTTAATACATTGTCACCTTGGAAAATAGGGTCAAAAAGGGTCAGTCACCTTGCTCAATGTAGGATTGTTCCATATGCCAGTGACGTTGAACAATTAATATTTGAACAGTTTATTTATAACCTTCACAATAAAATATATCTTGAACGCACGGATGGAACGAACAAAGAGATGTTAATAAAGAGTTTTTAAGGTTAGACTCAATGACGAACTTATCCGTCACATTTGACTCTTGAGTAAGATATTATTCTTCATAGGCTATACCGGTATACCGGTATCTGCTGTGAATATGGCCATGTTACTGCGTGTGACCAAATAAATGATTAAATACGGCAGGTTCATGTCAGTAACCAGGATTGCTTCAACAGCTCGAAATTTGTGATTTAGCATTTAGACTCAAAAAAATATCCACTGAACCAAGTTCGGTAATTTCCTGTTAATTCTATCAGATTCTGTGCTTGTTTTTGACATTTCTGGTGGCAATGTGACCAGCTGAAAACATTGTCGAGTCATTCATTTAACCGGAACTTGTTTTGCAGTTTTATTCACAAAACGCCAATATGGCCAGTATATTATATATATTTACAATACTTATATTGTCCGCTACGACTGTATATGGTTCGGGGAATGCTAAAGCCGATTCTGATCCGATTTTGTCGGCTATAGAAAATTTGTCAGACAGGATGGAAAGGGTCTTGCAAGAAGTGGCGGATTTGAAACAATCTTCGATCGAAACCAAAGCAAAAATGTACGAACTGCATGGTATGTATTTTTGTGCAAAATGAAGTTTAAGGGGGTTTACTTGTTGGATATGATATATACCCATTTGGATTGGCCCGACTATAGTTTTCCACCCTGTGTCACGTGAGTCATGATGGCCCCCTCCTAAGGTCGCCAATGCAAGCCAGAATGGTCCGTCTCGAAGCTTGACGCGTCATCGACCAAAATGACAAAAATTGTTTTGATGGTTCATGCCTGATGGTATCTTCTTGGTAATAATTACTTTACGCCTTTCCAATGTATGATCTGGTAATACTAAATTATTGCCTTATCTGAATGAGAGATACGTCACAGAAATAGAAAAAGATTGTTGTGGGTTTTGGAATTTGATTATTTATATAAAGTTATGTATAACTACGTAATCAGATCTTATAAATAGTGGTGATGCGCGAGTCGTTATGTATAGAACCCTATATTGACCATTCCACATTTGAATTATTGCTTTCAAGTATATAATCTTAACAAAGGAGATATTGTAACGACCAATTGGTTCATTCAGTCATTCAAGACACATTGAAAGCTGAGAATACGTTTATGACGTCCCGGTTTTAGAAAAAAAAACGGAGAGCCGACAGTCTCTGCGTCTTTTGAAGACACTATATCCCATCTTATTCCGATTCAAAATGTCACTAAAAACTTGTTTGAAAAGGCAGATAAAACGCATTTCAGAAAAGTAAACAAATCGTTTCTATCACATCTTTGAATATTATAGTGATGCAGAATAAAAAAAATTGTTTTAAATATTCTTCACCAAATTTTTATTTTCGCCCCACTGCAATAGAAACAAAGCCAGTTATCACTCTCTTGAATGAACTAACATAAAGAGATCAAAATAAGGTTTCTAAAGACACACAAATAGTGTATTTTGCATAAATAACAGTAAACATACGACGCCATATCGTAGTGAAAATCAAGCTGTGTTATGACTTTCACGATCGACAACTCATGTCTGGGTTGGATTCAGCTTGTCACTCTTGTTTCTTTAAAAAGGGGAGGTAAAGTACTATTCATGGAAATAGACGAGTAGATGTTATCGCTATTCTGTTTACTACGGCTGACTTTGATTGAAAATTTTCAAACAAAATTTTTTGGAAATTCTGGTTGAACAGCCCACCACGGTCGGGAGTATAGCGATTATATTTCAGAGATACTTGATTTATAATTCTAGCACGTTCGGACGGGGCGAAAAAATGTTTATATAAATGGTGTCAAAAAATCCTTGAGAGACTGTCCGATTACAAAAAGATTTATTAACACCTAGCCAATACCAGTCTCGCGAAATCAATGTCTGGATACTGGCAGATACTAAATTGATCGCATGGTACATATGCACATTATATATATATGTAAAATGACGGATAAGGTTACTTGTTTTGTTACTTGTTTATGCTCAAATTAGATTCAGCTTTAACTCAAATACATATTTCGCTCCAAAGAATAAACATGCCACCACATAAAGGATAAAATTGAATTTCAAGTGGTCAACTTTATCTGCAAATTAAGTTATATTTGAAAACGCGAGTTGATTAAAAAATGGCGATTGGGGGATCAACTTACAAGTTTTTCCGACTTGAAGTAATTTCTCATCAAGTAGAATTATGATCAATGAAATTCGTACATTGTTCATTTCTCAATAGAAAACAACTCTAGGAGTAACTGATAATATAACTTACATTTCAAGATTTTCCTATGTCATCTCTGTATTCCTTCATCATACAGGTTTATGTCCGGTGAGATACAACAACAAATGTTTTTTTGCCGTCATCGACTTCGATTTAGGAGTTAAATTTGACATCGCTGAATTTCTCTGCTACGAAAAAGGCGCGAAATTGGCAAACATATACTCTGAGAAACATTTGGAGGCATTAGGGGATTACATCAGACCTTATCTCGTGCTTGGAAAAGGAGAAATAAGTGGAGTCAGTGTGCACACTGGGATGAAATTCAACCCGATAGTAAGTGGGTCTTCATTTTATGGTTCTTTTTCTTTTATATTTGTGGAATCTGGACCGGAAGTATATAAAAAGATCCTATCACAAATTCCAATATTTGACGTCAATAATTCAAATCCCTGCCCATAAGTTTCAGACTTTACACAACTTGATCTAAAATAGCCGAACAAAATTTGTTACCTTCATTTTGGTACACGCACTTCTGGAGCGCCGATATTTGATGTCAATAATTCAAATTACTCAGAAAAACATTCAATTAAATTTCACTACGTGTGAAAATAAATCAAATAGTAATTATTAATTTTAGTTAGAATGATTTAAATGCTTCGTTATCGTATCTGTTGTATTATAGACAATATAATCAAGCTGCCCATTAAATGTGACCTACACTCTTGTTTAGACCGCAATCATCACTCTCACTGACGGCACCCAATCAGATCTGAATCGATGGTTTTCAGGTCATCCATGGTACGAGCCTGACAGAACAATAATTGAATTGTATACACGTAAACTTGGAGACTCGTACGAAGTATCCCATTATGACGCATCAGTGTTGTATGATTATCATGGCGCACTTTGCGAGATAGATCTTGCATAACTTAGATAAAATATAGTATTCAATTCCTTATTTTATTAATTACTAATCTACTTTCATGACCTTAATTGATGTATTTGCGTGGATGGAATAATTTCAACGTACTACTGCAAACTTACTTTAATAATATAAATATACTAATACTGATTACGATGTGAACTTGCGAAACCTCTTGGATTGTAGTTTCGGGACCTTATGCCTTAAGGCTTATGGTGCCACGGTAACGTCGATATATAATGAACTATTTCCAGAATTTATCATGTATTTTGGAAGGCTGTGTTTTCATCAGTTTGGAGCAGTTATAAGTGTGGTTTTATATTCAAATATTTGGACCTGCAGAAATATGTGCACCAAGATGGCGCACAACCTGAACATAGTATGTGTACCGGGTTAGGGTTTAGGTTGTGTGCCATCTTGGTGCACATACTTCGCGAGCTCCAAATAATTGTATGCGTTCGATTTTCATTTCTTAGAATTTAAAATAATTGAAATAAATTTGGGGCCAGCTTTTCTCACTAGTTTATCATCTTTGGGAGATTCAGCAGGAAATAGTTCTACCAATAAGCTTCAGGGAACCACAAGTGAGAATTGAACTCATAAACTTCCACGGGCAGTTGAACTTACTACTTTCACACACATCGCATTCTTTTGCTTGTCTTAAAAGTCTAAAAGTCGAATTTGAAACTTTTTTGCAGCAATTAGGGCACCCTTTCTTTTTCGCATTCTCAGAACGTTACAACTTGCCATATTCTCTAACCCTATCCCTATCAACCAAATAACTAGGTCAGTGTTTCTTAAGCGGTGAGGCGCGCCCCACAGAGGGAGGGGGGCGTAGACAATTTTTTTTTTTGGGGGGGGGGGGCATGGAGCTAATTATAAATAAAAATAGTTATTAAATTTGATCTTGCCCGCCTTACCATCAGTTATTTGTAGCTTATTGCTAGCTGGCTGTTTTTGATGCGGGGCACGGGACAAATTTCAAAAAAGTGGGCTTGCCATAAAATGTTTGAGAACCACTGAACTAGGTATTCGAAATCAAATATTTTTAACGAATACCGAATTTTTTTAATCTACAATCGGGTTGAGACCAGGCGCTTAGAGTGGATAACTTAATCGCAAATTACTAAAAACCCATACAAATTTCCAATAGAAGTTTTCCCGACCTCTGACCTATACTTTACAATTGCAAAACATTTTGTGCTCATTTTGATGGAGTTTTGGAATAAACTGGTTAACATGATCTAAATCATCATAGGTTATTTTAGCCCAGTCCATCGCAACATTTGCGAGACAAATTTTTGATTATTCCAACTAAACTAAGACATAGTATCAGTCAAGTTATTTGAGTTACAACTATACTTTCGAAAAACGCAACTGAAAATTAACAAATAACTTGCAAAACTACGAAAACGAGGCAATTGTTTACAATCATGCTTGAATATCTGTCTGAAAAATTTCAATCGTTAGTTATTGTCGACTTGTTCCAGATTGGTTGCGGTTACGGAAGTAAACAAGGAAATCGATGCTCGGGGAAGCATCTATAAGCTTCTCTAGAACCACAGGAGAAGAATAAGTTCATTAATCTAAACGGGCTTCACAGACCACAACCTTTTCCTAGTCGCGGGCTAATACACGATTAACCAGTTATTGAATTTAGTCACATAATATTAGAAATATTTTTATACGAGAAGCAACTAAAGCGTGTGCTATTACGTAATTGAAAAAGTTGGTAAATTTTTCACCTTTATACACACACTGACTTCATACCTGCAGCAACTTATACAAAAAACTTCCATTTTCTAAGGCGAATGATCTTTTACTGAAAAATTCTAGTCTGTGACGCCAATAAAGGTTAGTCCACTGGTATAGCTACTGCCTACTATCTAACTTTCCTTTCGAATTATTTAAACCTCGACTCTTGCAATCTCTCGATTCCAGAGTAGTAATTGAACCAAAGGTTTGTTATAGTCCATGCGCAAACATTTGTCGAAAAATCTGCTTTTCTACTCGCTATATGTCATCATTGCATTGCCCGTTCACTTGTTATGTATTGGAAGAATTTCAATTCCCAATTTGAAGTTTTCTCGTCATCTCAGATTTGTAAAAAATTTCTCGCCTAATCGAAGTATGAATTTATTTTTATCAATACTTAGATTATAAAAGAAGAATGAAACCGTTGATCAGTTTGGCGCACAGTTCAGCGCCCTTTGTCTTTGTGTAGCAAGCAGGGTGCATAAGGTCACACCCCGTCAAGCTTCTACAACCAGGAGTATGGCATGCTAGTCTGCTTCACAAAATGCGATCTTTAGATGCCAAATCGCAGAATATATATTATAAGAATTTAAATACATATATATCCAGTGATGAGCTGTAGCCGGAACGCCCCGGAATGGCGTTCCGGTTGTTGGACATTTCACTGCATTTGTGTTCCTGTTGTTGAAATAAAATTATGGTACAAAAAGTCTAGTTTTTCTGGTAAACCTAGTTATTAATTTACATCACATCACGCAAATAGTTAGTACAGCAGTAACGTGTAATGTAATAGATGTTTTCCCGACCTTTGACCTCATTGAAATTTATCATATAGTATAATAATAACATTTGTATTGAATTGCTATGAATATTCCAGTAATTATACAGATGCATATTTCAGATAATTTCTTAATATTTCATTGCAGTTCTTTAACTCTATCTTAGGACAGACATAACTTTCTGTTAACGTCCGCGTCGTGTTAGATATATTACATATTTGCGAATTAGGTGCGTTCCGGTTGTTACGATTTTTCCAGCTCATCACTGTATATATCTTGTAAGAATATTAGCTCAAAGCAATATCATGAGAACTCACGGGTACGATAAAGAGAATTAAAGAAATTTGGGTCATAGTCTAGTATCACTAGAGCGTAATTAGTGTGAACGAACGCCCCTTAAAAGTAATAGATCCAATAGAAAGGCATAGGCATAGAGGCATAGAAAGCACACAAGGCATAGAAACATAGAAGGAATAGAAAATATCTATTGACGGAATAAACTAACCACACGTTAACGATTTATATTCTGTTACCTTCCGCCAGGAGACCATGAATCAGCGATGAGGTTGGGTAATGGGCCAAAGCTTTTCCAATCTTAATAGAGAGTTCACGAACAAAAACATTCACAACGGTACACTTGCAAAAGTACAAAAGCAGAAAGGCAAGCACTCGGACTACTAAAATTGAAAAAAATCTCAATGATTAGGTTATGCTTTAACTAAAGCATCAAAATTTGGTGTTCAGTTGAAAATTGTCAAAATTGATTTTGGTATGAGGATTTTCTAATTGATATCTAAGATTGGAGGTCACATTTAAGACCTGTTCAGATTTCATGTGGGATCAAGACTTCAAGTGATTGGAACCAAGGATTCGAATTTCTTTTTTGAAAAATATAGGCACATTTTTATCGATCAATTGTAGCAAAATTTTGTGGTGATATAATAGTAACTACTGAAAAAGCACACGATACAAGTTTAAACAATTTTTAAACTAATGAAAAATAATTATTAATTTTTATTTTATTTCTTCGAATGCGAGCTGCTCATTTGTGCAGACAACCACGGAAGCAAAGTACATTTCTGTTTGCTGAGGTTATTGGCCTACACTTGTCTTAGCTCGTAAAGTTTGCCTATAGATTTTTTAATTTTGGTTTGGTTCGGTCAAGTGTATAGATGACCAGGCCAGCTTAGCGCGACGAGTTGTATGGAATCCGACTTTGCGAATTTTCGAGTAAGATGGCACTCAGTCATAAGAGTTAGCATGCAGGTGTGAACTAACGACAACAATCTAAGTTGGATCAAACACACATTACAGTAATGGTAAATATGAAAAAAAAATTAAAATAAAAAAATATCGCCGTTGTATAACCCTTTTAGATTATTTTACATTTTGGGATTTTGAGAAAATAAGCGTTTTGCAGTAGTTTGATTCAAACAGCCACAGTTATAAATGGACACTACCTGGGATTCAAATTAAAACAAGAACAGTTTTGAAAACCCAAACCAAAAAACGTCCATTGGTCCATAATGACAAAAGTTCATAAGTAGTTCCGACAAATTGCAACGTAAGCTATTTTGGTTTTACTGTGACGATATATAGAATTGGTTGAAAGTAGGAATTTATGGCAACATTTTTGGCGCCGGTCTGAAGGGATATACCTGGGTATTAGGCCAGCGGTCAGTAGTTATTCAATGACTGATGTAGATGACTAGAATTCAAGAAAGACGTTTTGTATCGATCAATACAATTGTTTTGATTACTGCTCGTTAGGATGGGTCAGTGGTTTTCAACCTTTTGATGGAGTGGGACCCAATGAAATTCGAGAAACCTCTGGGCAATAGTTCAATTTTTTTCATTATATAGGTTACAAATCTATTCATACTGGTAAGTTTATAGGAAGAATTATATAAAATATAAATATACATAAAAGCAGACCTGATACTGCAGTATGCAATGGCATAACAAAACGATCCCTAATGTGTAGTAACTTGAAGTCACAAAACCTAATTGGTATTTAATTCAAACAATATACACACTCTAGGTCTAGGGCAGTGGTTCTCAAACTTTTTAAGCCGCGACCATTTTTTTGAATTTGTCAAGTCTCGCACCCCATCTCAAAAATAAAAAGCTGCAAATAACAGATAGTGAGGCCAAAGTATGTTTTATTCAAGAACACGTTGAAAATACGTCGATGGGACGTATCTAAACAAATTAAAAAAATGAAATATCTAACAAAGGCGGGCAAGATCAAATATATCCAACATTTTCATTTTTTAATGAGCTTCACACCCCCTCAAAAATTTGTCTACGCCCTCTTGTGAAGAGTGTCCTGTCGTTTGAGAACCACTGGTCTAGGGTTTGACTATAAAGCATAATACAGTCACTAGGATCAGAATAAAAATTTGCATATAAATATAAACTTTTTTCCACCACATTTGAGTGACATTTTTTATATTGTTCAGCACGAAATGGTATTTTACAAAGTGCTTTGTATTTCTCCTTCTAATAATAATAATTAAAAAAAAATAAAAAATAAACTTGCAGAACCCCTGGACTACACAGACGTAACCAGGGTTAAAAACCGCTGTGTTAGTTACAGACTACAGCAGGTAACCACGTCCACTCGTATTTGATGCTGCTATTAGTTAGTTAGTTAGTTCTAGTTCACATAGGACGCCATCATGGCTAATGTAGTAAAATGAATTGATGATCGCAACATCAATATCATTAGTTCCCGACTTTGAAACGTGAAGTCCTATTCTTGTTTTTCCTGGATCATATTCTGGTTCACCAAGATACCAATTACTTAATGTTGATTTGCTCCCGCCGAAAAGAGTAGCAACACCGATCTGAATTAGAGAAAGAATAAACAAATATAATACAGGGTGGACGCTAGAAAAGTAGAAAATTTGAAGGTTAGATGAAATCACGAAATAAAAGCCGCGCTACCCATTTCTTTTTCGATTCGTTTTTATTTCTTTTAGGTTCTAAGTTGTTTTAAGTTGATACATTTTAGGTTCTATTTGATTTCTATATCTCATAACATATGGTATATGATATAGAATATAGGTATATTTTTATATATTGTTATTATATATATACTATACTAAGTTGATACATTTTAGGTTCTATTTGATTTCTATATATGTTATATCTCATAACATATGGTATATGATATAGAATATAGGTATATTTTTATATATTGTTATTATATATATACTATATGTTATATTTCTATATAACATATGCCTTGAAAAACTTCGTAAAAATTATTCTTTGTAAAATAAAAAATAATTAGCTTCTTGTCAAATTCACTGCTTCTCCAGCGACCACCCTGTAATAGGTGTGGCTACATATTCGCTCGAAACAATGACGGGTTACGTGCACTCACACACTCACTCAGAATATAAGAAGTTTCACCTCTGATCGAAGTTATAACCAACCAGTTAGAGGCCATTTGCTTCTGAAACTACATACATTTAAGGCGGTGCAATATTCGCTACTAAATGCCGACTGAATCAAGATTTGAAGCCATTCGGGTCAATGCGACAACGAAGTAATGAGGTTGTGAATTTTTTCATGACTTTAATTAAAAAAAAAACTTCGGCATAAAAATTCATTTCTTTAGCGCAGAGATAATTTAAATTTGTACATGGGCTAGTTGGATTCAAAGTTCAAACTATGGTATCACATGACGCTGGACAAATCGTTCCGATAATTAATAGCGACGCAGACATTTAAAACACAAACGGGGCTTCATTTAGAAACCAAGCTAAGAATATCTTGCAAATTGACCGCCCGCATTTTATTGACCAGCGGTGCATATTGAATTTGCTTAAGTAAGGTCACGCGCACCCTTTGAAAATAAAGAAGATCGAAGTAGTGAATTCCACATAAATGAAGTTCTTTGAAAAAGATTTGGGAATAGAGTTATTCAACTGGGTTATACTCTGAGTGTAAACAGATGAGAACTTTTAGCCAACCGAGTTTGACTTCTGAAACAGCAGGGAAAAGTTCCGAAGTTTCAAAAAAAAAACACAGAAAATTTTGATATCTTTGAAATGGGCACAATGACCCAACATGTCTTTGATGGAGAAAAGTCTGCACTTCTGACGCCAAGTGAAAATGGTTAACGACGCTCCAGAAATTCCTTTACCAATATGGAGGTAACTAATTTTGTTGACCTACTTTACATCAAGTTGTGTAAAGGAACTGGAACTTATGGGCTGTGGGTATATTCACTTGGCTAACACAGACAGTCCCCGAACTTGGTAAGGAACTTAAATAAGGAAAATTATGACTTAACCCTAGCCTGATACATACACCACAGGAGTACCAGCCAATCATATTTCACAAAAGCACTAGTTTGAATATAAACCTAATACTTCATTCATTCATGAACGTATGTGTAAAATAAGCTTTCTTTAATTTGGTCCGAGAATAAAAATTATAGTACAAACTACAAAGTATTGAAAAATCTCCCCTAAATAAAGATCAAGGTTACAGGTAAATATTGACACAATTCGGCGTGTTCAATTTTGTTAATGTTGGAAATGTCTATGCCCTCACTATCAAACAACGATCAAGACAATTGAACATGAAGTTCCTAAAGAACCTTTTATTTGAATTTCAGAAAATGCAAATAATAATTTAGTACCGTTCTCGCAGGTTCCATTTTTCTTAGTCATATTCGAGAATATCTACCGCAAGCAAACAACCAAAAGCCTGCCAAACAAAATCGACGATCGCGAGTTTTTAAATTCCGTCGGTTGAACTTACTATTCATCTAAGGCTTCTAAGATATACCATGAGGCGTTGTGAGTTTCAAAATTGTAATGCCGGGCTTATTTGTATCGAATTCACTAACACAATGTTTCTTTATTTAAGAAGATGTACGTATGTCATCCAAGCTAAACCGCAGAGCCTAAATTCTCGAAGAAATGTATAACTTGTACAGATGGCAAATGGAGAGATATTGAACTGCAAAGATTTCATATATTTTATCTGTTATAGATTTGCAAATTTGGTTTAATTAAACCCGGTCAGTTCTTGCTGTTATTCACATTCATCCAAACGCATCCAAACAAATTCATGCACACACACTACACACACACACAGACTGAGGCAATTGAATATACGAAACACTGTCAAAAGCCAAATATAATATGCAAGATCTGTTATGCACATTGATCTCAAAACGTTCACACAAACTCAGGTACTCATTCATACACACCCGCATACACAAAGCTGGATACACTGCCAATAGCTCTACAAGTAAAATCACATTTTGCAAGGAAGGTAACAAATCTGGCACACCGCTCGACACAGTACCAGTAAATTCTGTCACATTAAACGTTTTTTTTTATAGAATTTTTATAATTTCGCTCTCAAAAAGCTCTGCGCAAGCAACTAATACAATGTGAAATCAACCACGATTTGAAATTAACAGAATCTATCTGCGTCGGCACCCAATTTACGGGTTTTAAACCCGAGCTTCCGACTTGTCATGACACTTACCGTTTGATCAAACTTCATTGCTGTGAACACTTCAACATATTCACGTTTTCCTGTAGTTTTATCTGCAAATGGTCTGATGTAGTTCCCCAGGTCGTGCAAGTGATGCAAGGAATATATGTTTCCAACGTTTGCGCCTCTTTCGCGGCATAATCTTTCTGCTGCTTTATAGTCAATGTTTTCAGGATAATCGAAGACGACGAAGAAACACCTATTTCCGTGTTGCACCGGGCATATCTCTGTTAATAAGAAAAAACAAGTGTTTTGTTCTAAAATTCACTATAGGGAGATAATGAGCATAATGAGATATGAAGGGCTAGCTATATGTCGCCATATAGACGGCTGGTTAGACATATGGCTCCAATCGCCGTTTTAATGGCCTCCTCCAAATAAAAAACACACACGTTGGCCTGTCATATAGACAGCAAGTAGTTTGATTAACACAATCACTATTATTGTGATTGTTTCTTAAAGTTTAGTGCAGATCACTATGGGATACTATCGAACCCTAAAATACTTTTATACTAACCCTTAATCACAAATTATATCTCGTGTTAGCCATTTATGGATAGGCCGCTACCCAAGGGTTTTTAAATTTAGTTTTATATACCCATTCGTTTACTTATGACTTCCCTTTTACGTATTCTCAGATATCATATTTTTTAGACCATTTCTAAATTATACAATCTTATTTGAAGAGATGAAGCAAGCTTATTGTCTCGGTTTTATGAAATTACGCTGCGCAACCATTGCCAATTTTATTTTGGATCTACATATATATTCGTTTACCTTGTAATATTTTTTTCCTGATTTCCCCCAAGTCACTTTTTAATATTCTATAGTCTTGTTGGTGGTCTTCAAATTTCAAAGAGGAAATATTAACGGAAGTCAACTTTAATAAATTGTTGTAACAAAAGGCGTTTTTTTCAATTTTTTGTTCAAGCTTTTGGACTCTTTCAGTCAGTGTAGTAATTTTGTAAAGAATAAGATCCAAATTCGTCTTGGACTCGACAGAACAGCAAATTCCAACTGACAATAGGCTGAATACAACAACCAAAGTACGTACTATAACCATGGTAGTTTTAGTGAAACCTAATCAAGATATACCGTAAGTTAATAACCTGTGGATTAATAAAAATATGAAAGCATGTAGAAATTAAAATCACAAAAACGAAAATTTAATAATACTATATTCAGTGGTGGTATTCAGCACGGAATGTCGCCATAGTCACACATCCATGTGGCAACGGCCACATAGTGGAAGTAAACAAGGAAAAAGTGCCTGCCGTTCAATATACAATATTCTAGTAGCCCACCCAATGGTGGGATTCAGTGCGTTTGTACTGGTTTGCATGAATTCTTGAAATGTCGCGGTAATTAAGGAACCCGTTTATGTTTTTGTTTTAGACGTTCAAAGATTGGAGCAAATGGAGCTGGATTGAAGCTGCACCACAACTGACGACTAACGCTATATCCGGCTTTTCGAAAGTTTTATGTTTAATTTATGTGAACCGTGTCATATTAATGTAAAATAAGAATAACATAATCTTTTTTCACAAAATAGCTAGCATATTTTTAAGCTTTAGTTAATAGTTTAACTTCTACATACAAAACAAAATATGACCTAATCAAATAGCGGATAATATTATCTGGTTCAAGCACTGACACATACGGATAAGGAGGAAGTAAACAACAAGAAGGACAACTTGCAGTTCAGTGTACAATATTATGAAACCCCCTATATTATTGTAGCTTTTGAAATCACATACATACATACTGATATTGGAAAACCTGCTGTTAGTGAGCTCAATTCAGAAAAGAACCTTATTAAGATATATTTAGAACTGACTTCATAACAAAGTTGAAATTGTAAAGGTCCGTAATAGACACTCTGTATATCCATAGCAAACATGCCCTCTACTTCTCACAATTCAAATATCATTCGCTGCTACTATCGAGCGCTGAAACTACAAGACATCAAACAGTAAAGCGCAATCGTCGTTCTGGATAATCTTTAACTAGGAACCATATAAAATTGCTTTTATAAAGTTAACTAAAATTTGATAAAAACGAGGCAGAGAAATCACTGTCGATAGTTTTATATATCAGTATAAAGTATAATCATAGGTGATAATTTGGTATGTAATTATGGTAATTACGCTAAGTAATTATAGTTTCAACCTATTGTTGGGAGTTGTTGAAAAATAAAAGATATATTGGGTCAGCAATGATCCCTATTTACAACTTGCTATATTTGAACATGGTATCTTTTGTGTTTGCGCTTAGGCAGGCTTGTTTATTGGATTGGTCAGATTGTTGTCCGTTTCTTTCTTTGCAGTCCCTGTCAGAAGATTATCCAAAGTCATCGTGTCACCAAAATATGTGGGAATTACCACTTTGGTATGTGATCTCAGGAATGTTAGTTAGTTTTCGATGACAGTGATATAATGTCTTTATGCTATTTAGATCACGATAAGCAATTGAGACCACTCATCAAAGTTTCATGAGATCGCATACCAAAGCGGCACCAAATAATACAATCGTCTACTCTAGACTCTAGCGCAGTGCTCGTCAACCGGGTGTATAGTACGCCCCAGGGTGTAACACATCGATAGGGTGTACCAGGGGTGTACCGTAACGAATGTTGTAGAGTACACATTAACAAATGATATGCTAATTAATACGATTAAATTGGCAAAGGTATGTAATACATATCTAACGTCTAGCGCAACTGAAACTTTTATGTAACGTCGCCACCCTACAGTACCTTTCACGTTATCAGCCCCCCTAACCCCTGCATCAAGAAATGAAGTTACAAACGAATTTATTGCAAATCGATTAGAAGAATTGACTTGTCATGGTGTAGGATGATTTCACTACCAATTTTTGGCGTTCTTTTAGTATATGTAGCAAGATGGCGGGTACCTGAACATAGCATGTGTACCATGTTAGGATTAGGCCATAATTTCATTCTAATTTTTCTCATTTTAGTTCCATTACGAGTTCGGGGACCTGTCAAGTGACTTCCGTAGTATTTGTACCTGAAATTATGGCCTCACCCCAACCTAGTACACATACTACCTGTCGGTGTCCGCCACATTGATTCACCCACATTGAGTACCCAATTTTTAAAATTTGAAGACCCTCTAGTCAAGTACAATCTCAAATCATCATTACTCCTTGATTTGATAACCATTCTTTGATGATTGGATGACCTTATTTGCTACCAAATAGCATATTAGAATTGAAAAAATCAACAGTCAACATTGTCAAAACTGCTAGATGATCTGCACTAAACTACATTTTCAGTAATTTTTAATCTGTATTTTACATCGGAAACGGAAATTCCGATCAAAACAGTCGTTGCGATTCAGCCATTCTTTGAAATTGTCGATCTTTTTCAGCTTTTTGATGATTTATATTAACGAAGGTTTGTCATACTATAATATACAATTATTTTTAACGTAGCTCGACTTCGCGCCTACTTGCGATAAAATAAAAGTCATATTGCTCTGAAATACTACAATCTGCGTAGATAAACGATATCGCCCACCTTCAGAATCGATGGTCTAGCGCCCTAGCGGTGCCATAAAATTGAATCCAAGCCGGATCTATTCATGCGAGATTGATATGTGTCACAGTTCACACGTCACGTCATTCTCTGTGTAGAAGGTGTGCACTTCACCTATATGTTGCCGTCGTATTTTGTTCACAGTACTCTGAATATATAAAAAAGGGAACGGGTTCGCTGATATCACGACTTTTCAAAAACAGGTTCGCGCGAACCTTCCGAATGGATTTGTCCCAAGAAAAATACATCCTATACTTTATACCACTATATAATTCTTATTCCTATTTTAAGATTTTTGTTAGTTGGCGTCTACAAACTGGTTTATTTGTTTCAAGTCATGATTTTTCCAAACCATTCAACAACCTATCATTTGTACCTTTAAAAAAGTTTAACATAGTGACCCAGTCTATCACGGCTATTTATAGACTAATTTTTATTACTGCAATTGAATTAAAACTCCTAAAAAGACAAAATTGGGTTGGTTGATTGGGTTAGTTGATTCATACTGAAATTTCCGAAACACAACTGAAAACCAAAAAAGCATGCCAAAACTCGAAAACGTGTTAATGTTTACCACTGTAGCCGAAATTCTGTCTGAGTGCTAATGTTCTGGCTACTAAAACGTCTATTGTGACGTTACATTTTGCATCTTGCTGATTAGCTAATGTTACAGCAGTAAACGAACAATGCTTGGGGAAAACATCCATCATCCATTCTATGTAGTTGTGACCTCGCCAAGAATATATCAATAAGTAATGCATGGTATAATACTATCTCTTTCAAGCATCTTTGTGGCAACTGACACAAACGGATCCGAAGTAGAAAGTAAATAAGGTGAAAGGACCCGTATATCCAGGCTTGTCCATTGGACAAATTTTTCTGTCCCATCCCATCCCATCCCACAGCAATTTAGGCTTGTCCCATCCCATCCCATGGGATTCCTATTGAAAATACAATTCAAAGAAAAGCGTTGAATTTAGGCTCGACGTGTACTAAATATAGGGATACATGTACAAAGAGACATATAAAACGGCAAAATTTGTTATTGAAACTTTCGAAATTGACCCGTAATTAATTGAAAAAAAAAATAAACTTTTGTAACTATAGGCAGAAAAATTCTAACAATGAGAACTATATCAACAGTAAAAACAACAACAACATAATAAAACGATCAATAAAACGTCCACGAAATAGGGCCGCATGTACAAAGAAACATGCAAAACGACAAAGATTTTCCTTGCCTTTTTCAACTTGAAACATTCACAACTTTTATATAACCAACAAGAGAGCTATGCTCATATATATGAACACGAAGTACATAACCAAATGTTTTACCATCAGTTCCAAGAAAATCATACGGTTTTCTGAAAAATAATTGAAATTTTGGATGAAATATCAGGTCTTATAGGATTTAGAGAAAATTCAAGACAAACAAACGAAAGCTACAAGCCTTGTCGCAAAAATACAATCAAAGATTGAAAATTTCGAAATTGGTCCAGAAATTAATTAAAAATATAAACGTTTTTTTGTTCATAACGATAGGCAGGAAAATTCCAACGATGAGAACTAAAGCAACAAAAAGAAAGCAACTACATAATAAAACGATCCATAGGTCCACTACGTGTCCCACAATGGGACTTTTATGCTATTTCTAAGTCACTTTACTCATCACTTTCACAGTCATCACAGTCACTTTCCTATGACGTAACAATGGTTCCCGGCGTAAGTTTGGCTTTTATATTCCAGCCCAATCAATCAAGCGTACTGTCGTGATACCACGTTACTTCACTACCATGTTAAAAGTTAAAACTGCACCGTTGAAGACAATAAGACATAATGATAATTTTATACGTGCACAAAACGTAATCTTATGTAGAAATGGGTGACTTAAAAATTTCCCACGTGTCCCATGGGAATTACAAATTTGTGTTGTCCCATCCCATCCCATCCCATGGGACGTTTCCCATGGGAATCCCATTCCCATGGACAAGCCTGCGTATATCAGTACACAAAACCCTAGTACACACCATGCTACATAAAATGTTAGAGTGCACGCCCAGACAACATCGAGTTACGTAATATATCTTGAATCTGCCTGTTTTGTGTTCAAGAACGCCTGTCAGTGCAGAGTTAAGCCTGTTTGTGCAGAGTTAAGCCAGATCACCCCACTAAAATTAACTGGCGAACTAGAAACGTATAGGCAAACGCGTAATGATATTTAAATCAAACCGGCGATAGAACACAATCCAGATGCGCCGCTACCATCGAGGGAAAGAAAGAGACACTTTGGAGTAAAGCAATGGTAGATCGGGATAAGCCACGCGTGTCATTGCGCTGGACGAATTATGAGAATTCGTAAAACAGCGGTGGCAAAGTTTGGCAAGAGGATAAAGTCAAATACACAAGCATGTTATCAGCTTATCAAGTTTGGTCACACATCATTCTGAAGTGCCTCAAATGTTTATGGATAACGTAATTCATAGGTATCGTATTTCTTGATTCAAATTCCCCTTGCCTTC